TGGTGACCCTAATCATCACCACGCCGATCCCAGCATTGTAAATTCCAATATTTACCAACAATTAACGCCGAATGATAAAGCTTTAAAGGATTGCGTTAATTCGGAAATGTCAGCGACATACATGATTTCTCAAGCAGATGGTGAACATACAGAGAACATTTATAATGCCGTTGTCGTTTGATATCGCCGTAATGATAACATATTATTCATAATAATGACATCTATGTGAGCACTAAAATAATCAAAGTATTCAGAGTTACATTAATATTTGAGGTGAATATAAATGTAATTATTGTTCTCAGCTAATAGTGAGAATATATGCTTACAGTTATCTATACGTACACTGTAATAGCACTAATCTTTATCCTGCCAGCCCCATGTACCCAACTACAGAAGAGCATAAATCTTGTTAAGAAATCGACTACCACATAATATTGTTGATATCACAGCGACTGTTTAGGTTGTATTAAGATTGCAACGAGTGGTATATTATATTTTATGTTCTTGAAATTTAAATCATGACAATTTTCTCTAAGCATCTAACTTTTCAAACGATAACTTTTAATCTTACAACCATTGTAATCAGATTTGTTTCTTTTTGTTAAATTTACTTTTAAAGGGGAGTTAACAAGAAATATCTAACTAACTTTTTTAATGTATTGGAAAAAAGTCTTGCTAAACTACGGTGCTTATCAGCGAGAACTTTTTCATAAATTACCACTCTGGCCACACCCCTGGAGTGAAAATTGTGTACCCATTCTTGAATGTTTTATTATACCCAAAGCTCATTCTGACAAATATATACCTTATCTTAAAATAGCGAGACAGCAACGCCCAATCTTAAATTCACTAACCGCTTATTTGAAAAACTTAAGTCGATTGGTTGTAATTTTGGTATTAAGATTATACATGTATAATGTATATCTGATGTATGTTCATAATATAGGATTTCGTTGAAAAAGCCTGTTTTCGCTCATTCAATTTTTCTTTATTTTTGTTGTCACTTTACAAGATATAATTACGTGCGCTATCCGTTATTGAAATGTCGCATTGTCATTGGTAGATCAGTAACACGTGCATAGCTGATAACTGGGTAGTGCTAGATCAAAATGGTAAATATGTGTGTGTGTCGTGTCAGTGATCTATATTTAATGTCGTATGAACATGTTAAACAACAAATGCAAGGTCTATATGACGCGCTAATTAGACTTTCCATTTCTCAAGCCACCACTGCACATATATTCCATGCGTCATTCAGTTTATTGTATTATAAATAAAACAAGGACTTCAATCTTCTTTGCATGTTATAATTCACCACTATCAGAATTAGAGTAAAATTTGGTACCCATTTTTGAATGATTTTAATTCAAAATCTACGACTGGCGACCATTTTGTTTCATGGTTTTGCTTGTCTGGAGTCATTTCTAAGACATGCTCGTGTCAAAATATAGACTTCCATTGGATAAGCGTTTTTTTGCTCATTCAATGTTTTTGTTGTTTTTTGATATAATTACTTGCGTTGCCGTTATTGAAATGTCGCTCTGTCATTGGTCTATCAGTACCACGTGCATATAACGATAATTGGGCAGTGTTTGAGGCCAATGCACGGAAATACGATCAAAATGATAAATCTGTGTGTATGTCATGTGAGTGATTAATGACGTATATCTATGTCACAGTGTAGGGCCTGCTTATCGCAATCCAGTGCTTATCCAGTGTGAGTTCTGTAGGTGGCTCTCTCAATTGCGATAAGCAATTACACTGTGACAATCTAATTTGTTTAACCATCAAACCCACCAACACTTTTTCAGAAATGCCGGTAATTTTTTATCATGATCTAAAATGCGTAACTAAAATGCAATATCTATGACGCGCTGATTCCATTGTCACAATAGGGTAGAACTATTTTGAACATATGTAATTTGCATCTATGGCGGAGGCTGGCCTCTCATAGTCAACTCACGCAATCGGAAAAACAATACCACCAGCACTGGTTCTCGACGACCTACAAAGACGAGTCCACTGTTTGTTCATACAAGATTCTCATTGTAATTTCAGAAATGCTTGTTTTGTAAAATTATTCAGTTTTATTTTTATATTTATTAATTGTCCTCCATTTGTTGTATATTTATTTAGACAAAGCAATTTTGTTTTATGTTTTTGTTGTCTCCTATTTACTGTTATTAATAATTTATATAGCCAAGATTTCGGACTCATAAAACATAATTGTTTTAATGCATGTATTGAAGAGCTGTATGTATGTTTTGTCGTCTGTATTTGTGGGCAATGACTACTTTAGAATATACACAGCCTGGATTGCCTCATCTGCCATAATGTTTCTTGCAAAGACAAAGACTTCTCAAGTTCTGGTAAATCCAGAAAATGTAGCTGTGTATAAATACTAGTAGGTATTTACTGGAAAATACCACGCTATTAATTTCTGAATAAATACTTTCACCGTGGAAGTTATGTTTTGCCAATTTTGATTTGTACTATTAGCAGGCTATCTAAAATATTTGTTGATTAATTTTCAATGAAATCTTATTGGTAGGGTCCAATCGAATATGTTTCAGGTTATTCTGTATTCTGTAACATTTTGTCATTGAATTAACTAAAAATTACCAATAGTAAGAATTTTTAAATAACTTTAACCGATTTATAAAAATAAAAAAAAACAAAAAAAAAACATAAAATATTTTGTCATTGACGTTCAAGTGTATTCGTCATAATAGATTTGTATTGTTTTTGTCCTCAAATGACAAATTTAAACTTCCCGATACATCATTTTTCACAATTACATACGATTGTACATAATATACTTCAAAACGTTCTTACCTACGCATTAGCTGCTTGCCTATGCATAAATGTTCAACATATATACTAAAAGTTTGGTACTGTAGGGCGATTCTTATTGACGACGGGAATGTGTATGCAAGTAGAATAAATACTGGCTATTGAAGGACTTATAATAATATATATCATCTCTTCACACACAAAGAGACTTAAAATTGTGTGCTTGTACATCTATAAGTATACTGAATGCAATATCCGATGGAAACATTCCAGATTATTAGATATAAATGTTCATAAAAAGGACAGTTAGGTGCTGTCGTGCAATTCTTATCGACGATGGGAGTTTGGATACATGTTGAATAAATGCTGACTAATGAAGTTCTCATGAATAATACCATCTCTTCAGGAAGACACTGAAAATTGTGTGTTTGCACATCTATAAGTATACTGAATGAAATATCCGATGAAAACATTCCAGATTATTAGATATAAACGTTCATAAAAAAACAGTTAGGTGCTGTCGTGCAATTCCTATTGACGATGGGAATATGGATACTACAAGAGAAACAAACTATGTGGAATAAAGTTCCTATAATGCCACCAAGATGATCACCAATACCAACAACAGCAGTATTCTTATTGATTGACCATTTTTTATAATTATCCACTTTCGATTTGTTCATTATCTACATGGTTTATAAAAATTGTTGCATGTATAGTAGTTGATTCTGCTTCAATTAAATTAATTTCAACTGCAGTTGTACTTCCCCCCGAATAGGTTCAATCAAAATGTTATTTGCCAATCAATATATGAAACAACAAATGAAAAATGGTTTCAAAGAATGTTGAATTCACTTCACGTGAGGGGCTCTCTAATTTAACTTACTATAGTAATAGGCATTTTCGCAACGGCAACTATGCAAATATTTCATTATCAGTACTTGCATTCTTTAAGAGATATAGATAAGCTGTAATAGTGTTGTCATCGAGCCAATCATTTTGTATTATTGCAAATGATTTGTTTGATTTTTTAAATGATCAGGAAACGTGTCTGAACGATGTTATTAGGTAAATGCCTTTTGAACGATATATGACCCATTTGTTATTCACAATATGTATAGATAAAGATGTATGGTCATCTTGATCTAATAATATTAAGCAGCTTATTTTGAAAAAAAAACATAATCAGACGTCGTCAAACTGTTTTCATGAGTTGAAACTTGCAAATGCTTGAACAGATTCTGACAATTCCGACTTTCCTAGACTTTTAACTTAGATGATAATTTTGTCATTAAAATCAATATTTTTGAAGCACATTTTTTGGACAAGGAGGTCCTCTGATCATAACTATTTTCCATGCCAATTTTATTGAGTAGTATTAAACTCATTTGGTCTAGATAACTAGATGCACGTTCTGTGAGTTCATTCAATGCAAAAATAGTTTCACTCTTAAATGTGCATCCTGCTAATTTTTTGCATCCTTGGCAAGTAAAAAAGAGATGTAATGTTTTGCAAAATGTATTATTATATTCTCTATATCTATGTTATTGAGTGAGCCTCTCTGAATAATTAATTGTTTTGATGCTGTTGTCATAGCATCATTTACCTCATGCGTTAACTCATCTTCAATGGTATTGGCTGGCTCTGTTTCACTAGAAATTATCAACGAAGCAAATAGTGGCTCAATCCATACTGGTATTGCCAACGTTGTTGACGAGTCAAGTGTGTAAATGAGAATATAGACAGTTTTAATGATATTTAAAAAATGATGGACAAAGTATCTTCTTATTGCAAGATATAGCATATTCATCGTGCGGTGATATGGTAGTGTAATGCCTGTGTGTACAGAGATGGTTAGTAATTAACTATTGACAGTATCCCCTTATGTTTAACATCAATATTGGAGGAGATTTTGGAATGTTATTTCATACATGTTCTCATACGTCCTTCGCACACACAACATTCCCACATTCTTTTCAATTTTATTCGTTCCGTGGGAATTTGAACTGCACTGCAGGCACCTTGTTTTAATCTGTGATTATATAGTTACAGTCAGTGCATACTCTTTTAAGCACGATTTGTATTGTCAGTTTCAATGCCAATTGTTTTGAGCCAATGAAAAACACCGGAAAAACTCGAATGCATCAACTTGATTCTCTAATTGAATATCTAGAGGGTATACGCACTTTGCAATGTCATTTCAAGCATAAATTTACTTAGAAGAAATATGTTGTACCAAACAGTGAATGTGTTCTACCAAACGTGCTGTCAATTCGTAAGTCTGTAACGTGTGCACCTAAGTTGAAATAAACTGCTTGTTTAACTAAATTTATATTAATTACGAAACCCTGTATAAATGAATTAAACATTCATTTAACGTTCATTCTTCATTTGGTTTGGGGGAATGGTAGCATGTTTATTGCAATCATTTATAGTCATGTTATAATTACTCACAATAACAGATGTCCGTTTATGAAAGGGGACATTTTGATAGCTACGATATTGAATTTTCTTTTCTAGTCCCAGCCATCGACAACCAGTTTAAGGCAATCATGTCTAGTTTCTTTTTTCTGTTTCAATGTTTTTTTATTATGACTCATGCTATAACCTAATGCCTTGCTTGATATTGTTGATAAAGTCTTACAATGAATTCAAGATTTGTACTTCCTTGTTCTTGAAAACTGAAAATCGATGCTCACATAAACCTGTGGTTTGGTAAACTTTTGTTTTTAAAATGTCCGTTTTGATTGAAAACATCTAGTGTTTTGTAATATGTCCACGCAATAGCTGGCACCAAAACGGAACGGATTGAATTATGGTTTTCAGAAGCTGTTGAAAAAAATGTTGGGGAATAATGTTCATTTGGATGACGTGAAGCATCGCTTTCATTACCTGACTATTTCTTTGCACTTTTTAATTGCTTTTGGGAATAGAAAGAAAAAGACTAATATCTAGCTGTAAGGAATTCATCTTCAGCTATGTCACAGTGTATTGAGAGGAAAATCCACAGAACATACACTGAACAGGAGTTATGTCACTGCTAGAACGAGGTAGACAAGACAATAGTACTGGAAATAAAATACACATACACCAAAATATTAGGTTAAAGCTCATGGCTTTAATACTTCTTAAAATAAATAAAAGAAACAAAGCACAGAAAATACAATGAATAAATTCACTAAAAATAGGGGATTGCATAGGGATGTATGCATTGGTTATAACTCACGATTCCAGGATGTGGAAATAAATGACAGTCAATGGCTTCTGCAACACAACAACGAAGAAATACAGGAATCTTGCTTGAACGGCTTTCAAACTGTGGTTGTGATCACCCGAATTCGGAAGGAATGTTATTGTGTTTTATGAATTTGATCTAAAAATCGTCATTATGATCTCAAATTGCAAACAAAATAATGATTTCGTCAAAGGTCTAAAATAATGTTTATATAATATAAATATTGGTGATTGTGTACATTGTCCCAGTGAATATTTATTTTAGTTAGTGGTGCTTTATAGGTGCAGCCACTGTGTTTCGGTACTTGTATATACTTATACTTTCATACATTTTTTACTCAAGCATTCAACTTATGTTAATAGTTTCCAAATCCGCATGAAGTAGCGACTATAAATTGAGATTACGTTTTTATTTTGTATGAACAATAACACTTTTGACTGCCGGATTGCGACTGGCGGATGGCTTCACTTCTGTCTTTGAGTGTTTTTCATTTAGCTAACAACTTCAATAACCCAATTAGTTGCATGCGAAAGCCTAAAAGATTGCTTTGGTTCCGGTGAGTGTTTATCTAGTTAGATTCGAACTCTTTGGATTTGTTTTAGACGTTTTGTCATTTCCCATGTTTGCTACGCCGTAATAGGCGACCACTTCCCCGTTTTATTGTGATTTTGCTGGTATTGAATGTTTTCCTCGCGTGTCACGCAATGACCGAGTTTCAATCACACGGACATTTTGCAACGCAGTGCGTGGCCCTTGGTGTGACCCCACTGACTACTGTCTGTTTAACAAGCTAGTATTTGTTACCTTTAATAACATTATATTACCATGTGATTATTGTAATGTCTTAAGTATCTGTATTGCCATTTGTATATACCAATTCGTATAACAATCAGCCCCGATTGAAGATCATGTTTATTATGACACTAATTCGGGTGTAGGTACGGCTCCTGGAATTGTGCCAACAATATTTTCTATACACTGTTTCTGACGTCAGACTTGCAAATTGCTCATTTACTACACGCCATTTCTAGCTGCTTTATTTGGGGACAATAAGTCTAGAGGTAACTGTGGGTGCGTTTGCTTACAGTGACAAAGCGCAAAGAACTGTGTTTGTTAGCGTCAATCGTCATAACTATCGCTAACACTGTCAAACTGTAAGTTGTGTATATTCGGATTGGTTTAACATGGCAACATATCAAATACCAGCACCGCAGCCCATGAATGTGAAAAGAGACGTCCCTGCAAATTGGAAACATTGCAAGGCATCATGGTAATATTATGCTACAGCTACTGAGTTGAAAGATAAAGTTGATCTTATTCAGGCAGGTGCTTTGTGTAGTATTATGGGACTGGATTATGTGAAAATAATGAACAGTCTAGCCACATTGTCTGAAGCTGATAAACAAGACCCCAAGACAATTCTGAAAGAATTAGATGAATATTCCTTGCCTCAAAAACATCTTTTGTTTGAGAGAGTGAAGAGTGCTTAGGCTAATCAAACAGAACATGAATCTGTGGATCAATATGTCGTGAGATTACGCCAGTTAGCAGAAATCTGTGAATTTGACAATTTTTGTGAAAGTCTCCTGAGAGATAGACATGTTACGGGTACACATACGTGCACCAGAGATAGATTACTGAGGGAACCACCTGTACCAGATTTGAAGAGATGCATTTAATCCTTTTGTGCAAGCAAGTTGTCAAAAGTACACAGAAATCAGATCATATTAGAGGTGTAGCAAATGATACAACTGATACAGTACATGCAGCACGAAAACAGTTATAACATGGTAACAAACACAAAATCAGTGGAAATCAAGAATCCAAATGTCTAGGATATGGTAAAAACATGCAAAAAACGTGGTAAGAAAAATCACTTTGCCACTAAGAATAAGACACCTACACATGGAAAGAAGACAGTACATTATACTACTGAACAAGAAAAATATGAAGAGGGGTCAGATGGATTTATATTTGCAGCTCGTCGAATAGGTGCAATATCAGACAATAAGAACAGTTCTGAGTTTATGATACCTTTGACCTTTCATACTGATTACTTATGTACAAAGACAGTACAGTTAGATATGTGCCACTTGTGCTATAGCGTACTCAGATTTTCTCAGTGTTATATCTTCTTTGGGAACTTACATGTTGACTGTCGGTCAGAGGAATAACCCTTGGCATAGAATAGTTGTTGATACATTGGAGAAAGCTCCTTGGCCAATCATAGATGGCAATACTTTTGATAAACATGGTTGTTAAGACTGAGCAGTATATACAAGTAATGTAAAGCAGATAGGGGGAAAGCCCTATGAGCCAGTCACTAGAGAGGAAATTATGAGGCAATATGATGATGTTTTCAATAGTTTAGGTTGCCTACCAGGTGAATATCATATAGAGATTGATACATCTGTTAAACCAGTTGAACATGCTCCACGTTGTGTGCCATACCGCTAAAGGATAAAGGCGTTATAAAGAAAGTAAAAAAATCAACAGACTGGATATAAGCAGTCTAGTAGCAGTACAGAAGCCAAATAAGATCCATGAGATCATGACAGGAATCTTCTGCCATTGCTGAAACGAGCACGCGAAGTCAATTTGAAATAAATTCAAGCTGAGACAGCAGCAGGTTCCATATATGGGTCAGCTACTCACGGGCAATGGATTGATACCAGATACTATGAAAGTCTCTGCTATCGCTAAAATGCCACGTCTGACTGATAAGAAAGCAGTACGTTTGTTAGGTTCCATGGATTATTTGTCACGAGTTATGCCAAATCTTTCTAAGGTATGTGAGCCACTTCCTCAGACTCCTGAGAAAAATGTAGAATTTATGTGGGAAAGTCACCAAGCTGAAGCCTTCACCACATCAGCACCGTTATTTCAATGTATGCGAGAACATTTAGCTTAGGCTAAATCAATCAAGCACTAGAGACAATGTTTGTCGGGGAAAAAATGAACTGACGATGATATACTGCACTATATCCTGTTATTCTTCAATTTCTGAAATTGTCATACGCATATCGAATAGATCCAACTGCGTTCATGCATGGGAGGATACCACGCGGACTTGTTAAGAATATGCATACCTTCCGTCCTTTGACTGTGATTACTATGTACAGTGACCAAAGATGTATACAAGTTAGTTCTAAAATTATAAACAATGCCAAAGCAAATACAGAAAGTGCAGACTAACAGCAAGTAGTACTCAACGTCAGTTAATTTTTTCAATGTCCCTAGATGTGCTTGCGTTAATTTTCATGTAGGAAATGGCATACTGGCATACTTGACAAGCTGTTTACGGTATTATTTGAAATAACTTCTCATGAATTACATGCCACAGAAGGAACATTATTTAACAACATATTAGCATCTAGTAGGTTTGTTTGATTATCAATCGCCTTGGTAACATGCTTAACACCTACTTTGGGTGATACGATGTACTATTTATCAATATGTTATTGTGTTATTGTATTAAAAAGAGAAAACCTGCATGTACTGTAGATAAACCCATGTGTGTATTTGTATTTATTCAATTACGATGGGTACATATCGCCACTATGAGTTTCAAAAACCGATCCAACAACCCCATTTATTGTCATCTTCGGGAAAGAAAACTAATTTCCATTTCCCACAAATATTTCGTATTTCAGTATATTGTGAATGATAGTATTGTGTTCCTTCTAATGGAAATAAGCTCTCAGACACAATATGCATGTGTATGATACTTAGCTTCCAATAAAATAATATTATTTTTTATTACAGACCATCATATCAAAATGAGTTGGCAAATCACTCTCTTCATATATGTGGTGCCTATATTGCTGATGAATTCTGGTACACTGAAAGGATGTCCATCGGAATGCAGTTGTGAAGACAGTGACGGAGAGTTGCATGTCGATTGTAGTCACGGTGATATGTCTGAAATTCCTTCAAATATTCCATCTGATACTACGAGATTAGTATTGGAACATAATGATTTGACAACAGTACCGGAACATGCTTTTATCGAATTGTATGCGCTGGTTCACATAAACCTCGGATGGAACGAAATTACAGAGATTTCACCAAGTGCTTTTGCTGGCGTAACCAGACTAACAGAACTGTTGTTGCATAGGAACAGATTAACATCGTTACCGGAAACTGTTTTTAAAGAGTTACCAAACCTCGGGAAACTCGATATATCCTACAATTCGTTGACATCTTTACCAAGTGAAATATTTCACAACTTGACTGATTTAACAACACTTGACTTGTCCTATAATAATCTTCAATCACTGAATACATCAATATTCAATAGGTTATACAATCTACTTGAGTTACGTCTCCACACTAATGACATAACATTCTTACCATCATCGATATTCCATGCACTGACAAAACTAATATACCTGAGCGTTAGTTATAATGAACTGACATCTTTATCAACCACTCATTTCAGTACATTGACAAGTCTAAGATCTCTCCAACTTTATAATAATAAATTAACTGCGTTGCCACGTGACATATTTAAACCATTGACTGAATTGACATCGTTACATATAGGTTCAAATCAACTACATTCTCTAACGATCCATAATTTAACACAGTTGGTCACCTTGCATGCGTCACATAATAGATTCACAGATATATCTTTTCAACAAGAATTAACAGAGAATGCAGTAAATATTTTTGGATTGCCAAACTTACGTTATTTATATTTGCAAAATAATGACATTACACATGTACATGGAACAATTGATATTTTCTCCGGAATAAATAGCTTGATGCTCGGATTCAATAAACTTACGTTTTTACCTCGGCTTCCTTCAGGACTACGTCATTTATACCTCGAAAATAACAAATTTGCACATTTGCCTGACACTATTCAGAGTTTATCGAATCTCCACAGACTAACTCTTAATAGCAATGAACTAAAACATTTACCAAATTTTCACAATCTAACAGCACTACAAGTGTTAAAGCTCTCAGGTAATCCCTGGTCATGTGACTGTCACATGACTGCTTTCAAGAGATGGATACACAATAACACACAAGTAGATACCCAACTAATCTGTCAATATCCAATCGAGTATACCGGAACAAACATTGTCAATTTAACAGTATCAGATCTTCAGTGTCTTCCACCGAAATTTAACAGCCCATTTGAATGGGTGTATGTTGGGATAGGTGAATCCATAACACTGACTGTTAATGTTAATGTCCCACTTCCACATATCCAGTGGATACCTCCTAGTGGCATTGTAATTGGTACTGAGCGTGATTCTGTAGTCCGTCTTGAATCAGACGGCAGTCTTTTCATCCCATCTGTACAGAATGACTTAGTTGGGTCATATGTGTGCATTGCGAACTACGATAAGGACCAAGCAGTAGCAGTACGATATCTACAAATACGTTCTCCACCACGAGCCACGACCACATATGCGACTGGCTTACCGCCCACTACCTACATACCTGAGACGACCAGTGAGAACACCTCTCGTAATATATTATTCACAATAAATACCAGAACAAAGGATGCCCATGAAACAGCACCAACTAAACAAGATTATTTACCAACTTATGTAGGATACGTTGCATCATTTATTATGGGGTCGGTGATTGGAACAGTTACGATAGTGTTTATACTTTGCTGTCGACGCCATCGTGGTCGTAAACAAAATACAACACCGGAGAGTACAGAAGTAAACATCGATCTTCCTTCTCGCAATAATTTGAATGATGATCCTAATCTCCACTACGCGGATCTCAGCAATGTAGATTCCAATATTTATCAACAATTGACTACGATTAATAACGTCACTGGGGGTTATGTTAATTCAGAGATGTTAGCGACACAAGTGGTTCCTCAAGAAGATGGTGAACATACAGAGAACATTTATCATTCCGTTGATGCTTGATGATAACACATTATTCATAATCATGACATCTATGTATACATGAGAATAATCAACGTATTCAGAGTTACATTAATATTTGAGGTGAAGGGAAATGTAATAATATTGTTCTCAGCTAATAGTGGGGATATATGAGTAATCTATACGTATTAGCATTAATCCTACCAGCCGCATGTACTTTTACATTGATTTGACCAGATAAGTGTTACATTTATCCATCTACAGAAGACCATGAATCTTGCTAAGACGTAGAGTTGATATTTGCTCCTGAGATGACATTGAGCTCAATAAATACCACTGATATCAAAATAAATCAACTACCACAGAATATTGTTGATATCATAGTGACTGTTTAGGTTGTATTCAGATTACAGCGAGTGGTATATTATATTTTCTTTTCCTGAAATTTAAATTATCACAATATTCACTAAACATTTTACTATTCAAACGACAACTTTTAATATTAAAACCATTGCGTAATCAGGTTTGTAATATTTGTAATTTACTTTAATCGAATATTAACCAGAAATATCTCACTGACTCTCTCAGTGTATTGGGAAAATACATATCCATTGATACAGAATCGAGTTGATAAATGTTATAAACTTTTTCATATTATACCACTAAGGCAACGCTCTTGGAGTGTAAAAGATGGTACTCATTCATTGGTCGATCTGTACCACGTGCATATAACGATAACTAGACAGTGTTTGAGGAGAATGCACAGAAATACGATCAAAATGATAAATCTGTGTGTATGTCATGTGAGTGATCTATATTTAATGTTGTATGAAAAGTTTAATCATCAAGCCCACCAATATTTTTTCAGGCTTGGAAATGCCAGGTCATTGTTCTCTTGAAATGTGCCTGTTTACGTGTTTTTTGCATTTTTGCACATGATCTAAAATGCGTAACTAAAATGCAAGGTATGTGACGTGATAATTACACTGTCCATTTCTAAAGCTACCACTTCACATATATTCTATTTGTCGTCAGTTCATGGTATTATAATAAGGAATTCGCACTGACCATCTTTGCATGTTATAAATCATCAAAATTGGTAATAATACGATAATAAGATTCATTTCAACTAAAACAAATTTAACAACGATAATGACTTTTTCTCTATCAGTATGTCTTGGTCATAAGATGTCGATATTTGAAAAATGCAAAGTAAAAAAAAAAGTATTATAAAAAAACAAAACAATGGTTGTGTTTTCTGCTGGCGTTGTATGCGTTGCATAAAACCAGTGTCGAAAACTGTGCGTTGTGACGACAGTAGTGGATTTTTATAGATAAATATATATATCAGTTCTTAACGTAAGTTATGGCAAATTTTGGGTCAGAGCGCCCTCTGATATTTATGGGTAATCATCTTTATTTGGAATGGAAGTTTGAGCCCAGCAAGGTGTGATATAACTGGCATAAGCATGAACAACTAATTTGACAGGGAAGTTCTAGTTTTTATATTTACCTGTCAAATGCATTTATCGGTCCACTGATAAATCTAAATATTGTTTTTCTGTAATTTAGATATATATATATGTATGTATATGGCGGACAGAAGTTGAGTCCCCCACGGAGAAGAATAAAAAAATGGCAGCGTAGTGATATCATATGGTAACAGCATCGGCAAACGATTCCTTGCTTTAATCGACAAGTGCTTCCCGACTGGGAATAATCTCAGGAATTTTTTCAACAAAAATGTATGAACAATTTAAAGGATACAATTAACAATAAAAACAAACGTCAACTTACGAACGATAAGAACACCACGACCGACATAACAAAAGTAAATAAGCTATGCATTTGACAGAAAAAAACGGCATGCCCACTGAACATGAAGTGTTTGCAGCCTGGTGTCATATACCAAGCGAAACTTACGCGGTTACCTGAAATGGATTCTAAACAAGGTACAGAAACCAAACAGGCTCATTTCGTAATCGGCCCTTTAGAAATGCGACAGAACTAAGCAAGCATGTTTGGTCACTCAGAGAAAAAAATATTGAGCATAGAATAACATGGAAAATTTTTGCTCACGGTAGCCCATACAATAGCTCTATCAATATTACTATTTATTATGTTATTTAGTACAAAATAAACCCGTATTTTAATTTGCGAAGTTTATAATGTATGCTCGTTGGTGCAGTGAATTATTAAACATAAAACTCCTGATGAGTGAGGTACTTGTACCTTACGAAACAGTGCTGTCGAGTTTCAATATTCATGTAGTTGTGTATTAATTCCGTCTATTATCATATCTCTCTTGTTTTGGAATAGTCGATTCTCATATCTACATTTATTGCATAACAGTGTTTGCAATACAAAAAATAAGAGAAACATAGCTTTATTATATGATTATATTCACATAAATTGTTTTAACTCACTTCGATTGTATGTACGAATATTTGTTGATGGATGTTTTCTCAAACACCCTCTGTCGGTGGTACACAAATAATTTGAAAAAAAAAGTTAAAGAAAAAAAATGTCATGAACTACCAGCACAACCTTACAGTGCCCTTTGAAATATGTACGCTCGTACTACTATCCTCGGGGGCGGAGCTACGTCACAGACGTTCCACGTTGCTAAGACGCGCACCACTGTACATGCATTTCTATGGGCTCTGTGCGCGATGCTGTGGAACGCCGGTCGAGCCGGTGAAAATTCGAAAAAACAACACAAACTCGACTTTGAAGTAATCCTGAACAACCAAATTTATATATGTTACACACGTAGGGCTAATCTTGTTATACTGTTCAGAGGAGTCTCAACAGTCATCCCAAAGTACCGTTTTCCGCGAGTCTTGCGCCTTTGTTTTCACCGCCGTGGGTTGCCAGGCGGTGAAAATGCCCGGATGTCCGCCCCCGAGGATAAAATGGAATGCTATTCTTAATTTTTGTTACATGTACGCATGTTTTAGCGCACGTAGCAGTGACAATGTTTTATGTCATAATCTGTTACATTCAATCGTTTTAGTATTAGTCATCGTCGCAAACCACGCCCTCTTCCGGCAACTGATGGCTGCCTCCAAGCGGAAAAAATACTCTGGCGGGCGAGAATGCTATTAGTCAACATATGGTACGATAAAAAACACACATTCCAGTTAAACCCCAAATAAAAGTTTTGCCAATTTTTGTAATACATGTATATCGATATCTAAATATATCCTTGCCATAGGAAATAATGGTTAAACAACCTAAAACAAAACATGATATTTTTACTGTATTTTTTTTCTGAACCGAGTATGGTGACACCATATTTCTAATTCATTTTCTCCATCATCCGATCAAATATATAAGGAATAAAGAAAATAACAATATTTTTTTTTTAGTTTTGTTAGCGATTTTTCAGAAAAAAATATTTTCTTAGTAAAAATGGATGGATAGAAAGGACATATATTTGTTTTTAATCAAAATTTATTCTAACTCCAAGTGGTTCTACCATAGTTCTACATTGCGACAGACTACTTTCCCGGAAGTAGGAGACTGAAATGCGGAAATACTCCTGCTTTGTCATGGCGAAAACCCGGGCGGAAAATACAAGGATGTAAGTTTGCTTAATCTCGATGGAAAGAAATGTTATTTTTGTGACGTCGGATTGGTACGCCAACGAAATATCACGCGCGTTTACGTTACACACCGGGTTCAGTATGCGTGCGCATGCGAAACGTCGTATCTTCGACTTTCGGGAAAGTGGTCTACCGTGAAAAAAGGGAGTAAAGTTTTGTTAGACCTTTGACCTTTGTTATCATCGACTGATATCCGGTCTCCGCGGACGTCTGTGCGTTGATAGTTTGCATGGCAATTGATGTATGCTCACGAATACTGGCATGGTAGATGTCTACGCTTACATTAAGCACCACCACACGTGGGATGAAAATCCAAAAAATCTATCACACCCGAGGGATGGAGCCCAGGACGATTTTGATTATAAAATTTTGTGCGCATGAGCAATGACCGAGCGGTCGTAATAATAATCAGTTTGAGAAGCATGGCTTGCTTCTGCTGAAGGAGTTCCCGCAGATCTGAAGACTACAAAGATGCTTCGTTCAGCGATCAACCGGGTAAGACACTGATTAGTCTCCCTCAATGAGGGGTGGGGTGAGGGGTTACTCCTGCGTTGACACGCGTGTTTAGCTGCTGGATGACAAGGGTTTTCTGACAAACATAGATGGGGGGGGGGGGGTCAACATTAATTGTGACTGTACTCAGGAAACGTGCATTATTCTATAGCCGATAGATTATCTATTAAATGCAACACGTACATTCATCTAGGTGTATGAATGTATGAACTACAGTGGTGAGAGATGGAATAAGGAGTGGGTGAATAATTATTCGGGGGGGAGGCTTTGCTTGGTTATAGTAATGAAATATGTACCCATTCAACCAGAGCTTGAATTAACCTAGTCGAAGGTTACATTGAGCATATGTTATTTGCATTGTCATTACATTTACGGCATAGTTTAATACTAAAAAGAGTCTATTTTGTTGTATATGTGTTTGTCTGATGCTAATCGGGGCGGGGGGGGGGCAAGGGTTATTTTCGTTCAACGTAATTGCAATATTTTATTGTTCGTACAACGTAAATTGAAAAAATAAATTCCCTAATTCTGTAATCACAGGCTAGACGTACAACATAATCAATCAAATATTTATTTCGTACACTGTAAAAATGTGTCATTTTTTCATGGTAGGTACAAGAATTTACATCCAATTAAAAAAAGTCATAAAGAATAATCCAGGGCAATTACAGTTTTGAAACTGTAGAACGACTGGATGACACAATTCACTGCAAAATTCAATTTTCACTTTAAACTTTTTTTTTTCCTTGTAACTTGTAAAAAGCCATTTTCATTTCCCGTAAAACTGTACCAGCTACCCCCCTCCTATCAATAAAAATCCTACCCTCAATAAAAATCACTAGAATTGCTAAATACACTATGCCCACCTCCTGGGATAGAACAAAAGTGCCTTATCACTTTGATATCCCTACCCTACCCTACCCTACCCTATCCTACCCTACCCTACCCTACCCTACCTTACCCTACCCTACCCTACCCTACCCTACCCTACCCTACCCTACCCTACCCTACCCCACCTCTACCCCTACCCCTACCCTACCCCACCTCTACCCCTACCCCTACCCTACCCCTACCCTACCTTACCATACCATACCATACCCTATCTCTACACTACTGTCCTAAGGTTTTAACCCCAGGTGGGAAATTTCACAAAAACATGCCAGACGCTTTCAAGCTTCTCTGATATTTGCCTGATAATTTCCCCTATACCTTTGATGTGTTGGGTGTCAGAGTTTCTATTGACTTGTGCACTATTGACAAAAATAAAATAAAAATAATTTATATGAACTGCCATCAATCAGATTTCCTATGCATCCCTGTTAGTGGCAAATTTAGTAAATTGTATTTTTGTTTTCCAAATTTACTAAAAATCTGAAGATAAATTAGTGAAAGGTAGATTACAATGGATGTGGGAAATAGTTGCCATTTTCTTTTTCATTGTTCAAGTATCATATTTACTCTGTACAGTGCCCGGTTTACAATGATGTTACAGTGATTTCTAGCGTTCATGTACCGGTAGTTGCCATTCAAGACCATACACATAATAAATGATAATATGAAGTTATTATGAGGATACTGCAAAGTATGCATGCAGACAATACAGCAGGAGTATTGATAGATGGTACGCCCAGCGGAGGTCGATGTGACCACGTACTGTCTGCGTGCATACTTTGCAGTATCCTCGTATTAACCTTATTATTAGTCCTCGTTCGGACGCAGTCCGAAAATGGGGACTTATGTTTTGACCTCCGTGTGTGCGTCTGTGCATGCGTCCGGACCTGTATCTTAGAAATGCCTGGACCAATCACAATCAATCTTCACACATACATCATACATGATATTATACATATGCACATCAATTTGTTTCACAATCTGATTCAAGATGGCCGAATGGCGGCCATTTTTGTTCTAAAAATCATCAAAATCAAGCATTTCTCGGCTGTTTACAGATGGATTTTGTTTAAACTTGGTATATACATTAGACATTATGGGACCTTGATGCAAATAATGTTGTTTTTCAGATAAGATTCAAAATGGCTGACTGGTGGCCATTTTGTTTTAATGAATGTGGCTCTCGTGCCATATCTCTGACTTGCTTTCACTGATTATATTCAAATTTTAAATATTCATTATACATCATGTCATAGATAAACAGATATATTGGTTTGACGATCCTATTCAAAATGCCTGAATGGTGGCCATTTTTGTGCTAAAAAATCATCATATATCAAGCATTTCTGGCATTTATGAATGGATTTTGTTCAAACTTGTTATACATCTTTTCCTTCCAGGTATACAACATTGGGAATGCCGAAATCTAAAAGGTTTAGAACAGATTTAGCAACCTTCTTTGTGTGGGGCCCGATAAAACCCTGGGGGCAGCCATGTTTGTTTTTATTATTAGGGGACGCTTAGGCACATAATCGTTCCGTATTTGGAATTTGAGTTTTCTTATGTGGTAGGATAAAAATACCCAGTGCAATACCGCAAAATGACGGCATGCTGTAACTTATGGCATCATGTGTGTAATGTAGTATAAACATAATGCATCAACCTCACCAAGATGTAAATAAGTCTAATATTCCAATCATTGTGCAGTTATATCCATAATTTTCTCACACTCAACTTTCATGAAAAAAGGTACATGCATTTACCTATGAAGTTATCAAGTTTCAATAAAGATTAATAAGTCAAGTCAAATAAAATCAGGTTACCAGTGACTTAACATTATATTTTATTTTGTTTTCAGTTGATGCCACCACTAGTGAGAAGTTGCACCACGTCAAGCGAAGCCCAAATTCGCAGGTTTGAAAAATGTAAGTTGATAATTGTTCACTGCAGAAATGTGTGTGGTACATAGCAAATACACTGATTGGCTGGCTGTGTTTCTATGCAAATTTATTGACATGTGGTACCTAGCATATACACTGATTGGCTCGCTGTGTTTCTATGTAAATTTGTTGACATATGGTACCTTGCTAATACACTGATTGGCTGGCTGACTGCTTCTATGCTAATAATTATAGGAAGCCAATTTACCACATGAAAATTGTGTATATTTGGTTCAAAAGAATTTATTGAACAATTTGTAAAATTTTGGCGGGAATGATCATGAAATCTAAATAGTTATAATAGCTTATTTTGTTTCAGTGGTGTTTTTACCAAGATGATTTACAAGATCATTCTTTTTGTTTTCCCTGTGTATAATATAGGTGTGAATAAAGTAACATTGGTTGGTCGGGCAGGTCGTGGCGCTGAAGAGAAAGGTTTGGAATCCGGTAGACCTGTTGTACAATTTACACTAGCGACTTCTGATGTCTATAAAGATAATAGGACGGATCATGAAGGTGTGTACACAATATCCTCATTTGGTAAATGGATGAAACTGTGGTGGTTCACATGGATTAAAAAGCTTTGTTTTCAATGTTTTGCCATTGACACACTCAACCTAAAAAATGGGCAAATGTGTGTGAATCTGAGATCCAGCCTATATTTTGTATATGCATTGTAGTTTTCCCCCTGAGTCTCAGTTTTTCAAAATCTTCTTTGTTATCTTCCCGGATTTCTCAGTGAAATTAAACAATATGAGAAACATTTGTTGTAATTTTATGCAAACTGTATTCAAATACTCATTCAGAGTGTTTGTTGAGAGGAAAATGTGACATTTCTTTGTGCCAAATTCCTAGAAGGAACTGAGGCATCTGACACCTGACCGGATTCAGCATAGTGGTTGTTGTGATCTATAGGACCCACAATCATATCTGTACCCTGTGACCCACACAACTCATTTACCGCAGTGCATTCAGTAACAGATGTGACTTTGAGGGAACCTTGGTTGAGATGCTTGTGTTCAATCAGACCTCAGTCATAGCACACTAAACTTGCTTTGCATGTCATTTCAAATATAGATTATGTTTTTAGTCCCAAAATTGAGTGTACACCACACTTTCCCAGCATGCTAAACAGGATGATCCATTTTTTGTGTTCATATCCTGGGTAAGATTTGACCTTTGACCCACCAATCAACGATCACTATGCGATACAGGATGATCCATTTTTTGTATTCATATCCTGGGTAAGATTTGACCTTTGACCCACCAATCAACGACCACTACACTAAACAGGATGATTCATTTTTTTGTATTCATATCCTGGGTAAGATTTGACCTTTGACCCACCAACCAACGACCGCTATACTAAACAGGATGATTCATTTTTTTGTATTCATATCCTGGGTAAGATTTAACCTTTGACCCACCAATCAACGACCACTATACTAAACAGGATGATTCATTTTTTTGTATTCATATCCTGGGTAAGATTTAACCTTTGACCCACCAATCAACGATCGCTATACTAAACAGATGATTCATTTTTTTGTATTCATATCCTGGGTAAGATTTGACCTTTGACCCACCAATCAACGACCACTACACTAAACACGATGATTCATTTTTTTGTATTCATATCCTGGGTAAGATTTGACCCTTTGACCCACCAATCAACGACCGCTATACTAAACAGGATGATTCATTTTTTGTATTCATATTCTGGGTAAGATTTGATTGTATAAGGTGTTCAATTTCAGTCATGATATTCCCTCTCATCATGGTCTATCAAGAGTCAATGTAGAGGATACAAAAATGTATAAACAAATACAATCACTTTTGAATGAAATTATATTGCTCTAGTGCATTCACTATTGTAAATAACAGTTGTGTCTATTGTCAATATAAAACATATTTCAATGTTCTAGGAAACAATAAATGCAATTTGGGGTTTGGCTTCTGTTGGAAATTTGATTCTATTAGAGCCAATATGGTGGATGCTACAATATCGTGGTCACTGACGAGTGACCAGTGACGAAACTGGTTGGGAATACTTGGTTCCAAATCAAATGTTTAGTAAATGTGCTTTTAGGTTCCATACACATATTTGGGCTGTTCTCATTGCCTTCCTGTCCTATCTTTTTGCTCCACTGACATCAAAGGTGATAGAGCATCGCTGTTCATATAAGTGAATGTCATGAAGAATTACATTTCTATCTTTATCTTGAAAACTACCGGCTCAATTGCTTTGATACTTTGTAGGTAGCTTGGGTAGACCTTTACTTTAGGTGATGGTATGTCATTAATCATCCGTCCGTCTGTCTGTCTGTTGTCCATCCTCCAATACCATTTCTATTTTTGAATTATTATTGGAAACTACCTTCTCAATTGATTTGATATTTGGTATGTATGTAGCTTTGGTGGACCTCAGATTTGTTCATTTCATGACAATATCTTCAATTCTCTATTTTTAGCAAGTATTTTTGTCATTTTTGATCAAAAATGTTATTATTGCCTTTCTGGAAAACCACTACTCAATTGCTTTGATACTTGATATATGTGTGACTTGCATGGACTTCTATGACATCAGTTGTTTTTGTGCATTAGGGTAACATTCAAGGCTCTCATAAAACAGCAGAGCTACATGTATTTCAACTGTCAGGTCACTTGATTACTATTAGTAAACATCATTTTTTCACAGTTTACAGTTAGTTTTACATTATAGAACAGTTTTCATCAGTTGAATAAAGGATCTTTTCACATTAACACATACACTGTATCATATTTTTCCTTCATCTTACATTGTAACAAAATGAGATACTATTTTTCTACTTTTAGGTGAATACCGTGAGAAGACACAGTGGCATAGGATCAGTGTATTTTACTCGCCTGCACTCAGAGAAACGGTTTTAAAATATGTCAAGAAAGGGTTTGTAAAGATTATAATCAAAATGTTTCTGTTTTGTTATGTTAGTTTTATCATGGTGAGGAATTACAATCATGGGATTCCTCGCAAAAAGTTGTTTTGAAAATAAAGGAAAATATACACTCATGTGACCTCACATCTTGGGTGATAATGTGACCCTACCCATGATGCAATTTCATATTGTGGTATTTAAACCTGAGCCAATCAAAATGATTTGATTTCTAATTTTGTTTCATTTTCAGTTCTCGTTTGTACATCACTGGTAAGTTGGAATACAGCGAGTACATCAACAGAGATGGAGGCAAAGTCTTTTCTACCAATATTGTTGCAGGTATTTGTGAATATCAGTTGAACTTTGAAAAGTGATGTGTTGTGGCAATAAACTTGTATTGTTGGCAAAATTTTAGATAAAGCTTTTAACATATTAAGTACCTAATATGCATACTGTAATATATACTATAGCTATGTTGCTTCGAAGATACGAGTAAGACTCCCTTAGGGCTCCCCTCAACCTCAACTGTAATTCTAACCTTGGTGCCCCTCCCATATTTTAATTGTATGCATGTGCCTCTCTTCAAGACTGATATATTTATTTGGAGGGGCGTATACAATAAGTAAAGTAAATGTTGTGGGAGACAAGAATATGCATGTATAGATTGCATGAAGTCAGAATTCAAGGGTCAGATGATTGGACTTCATTGATAGATTTGATAATCAGGTTTATATTTAATTACAGATGATGTCATCTTTCTATCTACTCGAAGCTCTGAGGATGACCAAATTGAAGATGATGATGACGATGATGACGATGATGATGAACACTAAATGTAACAATCATTTCCTCAAAATATACTGAATCTAAAAATGTTAAACAATATTTTATTTAATCAAGACGAATAATCAGTTGACTCGAAGTATATATACAAGGCAGAAATTGATCACTGAAAAAACAAGCAAACTGTTCTCTGATTGGTCTGATTGTTAGGTGTTAGGGTTGGGTAGCCAATCAGGAACAGTTTTGTATGTAGTTGCTAAAACAAAACTTTTACCTAATAGAGAGTACGATGATCTGCTTTAGTCTTGCGACAGTCAGTGTAAATCCTGTAATTTTGTAGCAGTGACAAGTTTTCAGGGGTACTATGACATGAGTTTTGTCTTTACCAATGCCATAAAATCAGCACAAAGCCAAAATTTCTAGCAGTGAAAATTAGGCAGTTTATAGTAAATCAAACTTGGTTAAAAGTGTGAGACTATAGTAAGAATCTGACACTTTTTTTCATTTCGCCAAAACTTTTGTTCTCATCATTATTTGTGAGAAACCTATCTCTTGGTGTGAAATAAAACATGCAGGCTAGATTATTGTTTATCCTTTTCACCACCAGACTTCCTTGCCAAAATTTGTCTGCACTTTTTTCTTATATTCTTCAATATTTCTAGAAGTGAACACGAATTTTGGAGCCAACAGACAATATTTGAGTCAATATTCAGTTTTTACTCAAAAAACTTGGCTATTTTCGTCCCAATCTTTTGAAGGAAAATGCAGACTATAAAGGAAACTTGTGATGCAAAGAGAGAACTGTTGGTGAAAAGGTTAATGACAGGAATCTAGATCGGTAAGACACGAAAATCTTAGAATTTCGTCAATCCCGTGTTTAAATGGTGAGATTATCAGACAATTCAAAGACAATCAAGTTTGCAGTTCTCACTTCGAGGTACATTTATCATTATCCCATAGTGAGAATTACTGTGTTAAAAATAACCTCAATTTATGATTCAAGTCTCACTCTATTTGACATGATTATATCATGGATTACCTATTGCCAACCAAAATTTTGAAATATTTTATTTAATCATAGACCTCTTTTCTAAGGTCTATGATTTAATTTTGTGTGCAACAAGGAGGGTCAACAATACTGCCCTCATGCATTAACTTTGACAGTTCTTTTGTTTTTCTACTAAATTTTGTACTTACCATTTTACTATTACTGTTGTCTTTTTTTTTTTTCACTGTAGGAGTTCATGATGTTTTAAGATTTATCTGAAATCACACTGCCACCAAATTCTTTTTTTTGTGATAAGAAAACTTTGGTATTGTTTTCTCAATTTCAACAATCATGACTATAAATTATTTTTAGGTGATATCATGCAATATCCCTTTATTTTAAGGAATTATTTTCTCACTCGTTTTCCACTGCCACTGTATAATTTAAATTTAAGTTCCATCAAGCACACTTCTTTTTTATTTGACCAAATCTACTCTCAGTACTGTACAGTTTGAATGTCAATGTCCCAAGAAACTGAAATGCTGAAAAACTTGATCGCAAAATACAATTCAAAACTTGTTATTTTATGGTTGTCTTTGTTAATTTAAAGCTACATTCTGTTCTCGCACATATTTATGAATTCATGTACGGCAATACTGGTTCGTAATTGTGGAAATGAACTTTCGTTCAAACAATATTTACTTCCGGTTACCAAGGTGAAAGTTACATACACGTATGCATATTATCCTAACATTTTACCACATACATGTTCATTTATTTGCAAAGGTCATTTTGGGCTTAGGATTATGTGAATTAAAAAACACAAAGTTCTTAAAGATTGAAAGGAAAATGACAGCAATTTTGAGTTTGCATAGCTTAGGCCTTCATTTCTATTTTGGAGGATGTTGACTACAAATATTTATCTACATTATTTTTACAGCAAGTGACAGTGATATGTATTGTTCTATATCTATTCCATTTATTTTATGAAACAGGGTATTAAGATCATGATTCAAATTATAGAAAGAAATGTAACTTTCTAAAATGTTTTGCATATAATAAAAAGAAAACATATTCTGCATGATTCTATATTCTGCGTTGGAGAGAAAACTTGGAGACAAGTTAAGAAGATGTGTGTGTATGAGGCGGATTGGCCCGTAAGAGTGCTATAGTTATATTACATGTATATCATAGTGGTGGAATTTGATTGAAAAAACAAGTCCTTGGTCAAAATTGCTCCCAGTTCCGAATTACGTTCAACAGGGACTATAAATAATTGGTCTTAAAAAGACCATGATAGTCTTGATATTGATGAGCCATTACCTAATAGGAAGACATAATATGATGGGTTGTGGAGATGGATCCAGGGTTAAGAGTAAAACAATTAAATCTCACCCAGGGTTACCCTACTTTGTAATATAATATGCTGATAGAGACAATATTGGTTAAACCTTTTTATTGCTTCTTGGTTAAGTAAGTACATGACAACTGAAATTTAATTAGTAATTCACAAAGAGCATTAGAATCATGGCAGTTGAAAACAAAAACATGGATTTAGTGTGTTATCTCCTTGTACTGGTATTCAGAAGTGTCCACTTGTTAAAAAAAATGTACCATTACAGTATATTGTAGCTATAAATGACTTTAATTTTTACAAGACTACAACTTTTTGTCTATTTCACTGGGTTCCTAAAAAATGTTTTGTGAAATGTTCCCTTTTGGCACAACCAATGTTGGGACAGTTACCCGGTAGCTATTTTTGTTTTCAACAAACAAAAGAAACACTGAGAACACAAAAAAAAAAAATGTACATCAAAAGATATGAAAGACAATTTTAATTTAAATCAAATCAACAGACGAGATACCTATGACTGAGATGTGAAGTACTGCATATGACTAACACGACGGCATAACTTGCACACCTATACATGCATGCATAGTATGTATTTCTTGAAAGATAAATGTGAGCACTTATACATATTTTTTTGCAATATATATACATTGTATATTAGCACTAAATATTAAATCTTGGTTACTATGGAAATGATTAAATCTAGGTTTCACCATACTTTAGACAATTTGTAAGATAGACACATTAAAGTACTACATCACCATGGCAACAATTAGATACCTGAGCTCAGATAACCCATTAGGTTTCTGTCACATGGCAATTCTACAACAGTCATGGTAAACATATACAGTTTCATTTAAAAACAAGATTTACACAAGTCCACCAAAAAACAAGACAGCTCAAACATGTGTTGAACCAGAAATATATGTACAACCAAGGACAATATGGTGTGTGTATTTGGTATCATGCTTTTGTATGACTATTGTAGTCTGGTCTATAGTACCTGGTAGTTCAAACGACAGCTGTGGGTGCCAAGTTTATTGTGACAAGTAAACCGTACAATATAAATGTATTTAAAAATGATAGTCGAAATATATGAACAGAATATCTGGGAACATATTTTCTAGAAACCAGTTTCTATTCTCATGATAAAATTACCACAAGATTGGATTATTTAAATCTGGGTTGAACTTTTCCATTAAATTTTGTCAATTTCACAAAAGAAAATTCCATGAAAATTTTCAAAACTGAATAAAATATGTTTGAGGCAAAATCATGGTGAATAATATATTTTCCCTGTGATTATAGTGTATTTTTATTAATTTTGGGTATTAGCATAATTAATAAGCCATCAGAGGTCATTGACCTGCATAAACATACACATTTAAATTCAAATATACATTGCATGATAAAAATCACAAAATATTAATAAAAAAATATTTACAAACCAGCATTGTTACAAAAATTTTAAAAACATAATAACATGATATGTACGCAACATTTATATAATAATCATCCAAACCCAGAAACATTAGTACCAAAAATATATACATCTGCTTAATATTATACAATTTTTTAATTCTGTTTTGATTAATAAGCAAATTATCTTAAAGACTCATAAATATATTTTTTTTTTAAATATTAGTAAAATTACCATGCGTAATGGAAGAGCTGAAAGCTCGTTAATGTGTGTGAAATGAGGAATACTCAAGGAATGCATTTCTATTTTACTCTGAAAAGCAATCAGAAAGAAATTTGTAGGTATGTATTTAATGTATTTGTGTGAGAAAAAAATGATTTCTATACTTGGTCTAGCAGAAGTGTAAAACGAACCAGCCACTGTGGTCAACAGAGTGCAGAACTGACCAACCGCTGTGGTCTAGAGAATTTCAAAAAATATTTGTCATTTTGTTTGTGTACAGGGATAGGATACTTTTATCATACACTACTGGTAGTATTTGACTTGAATTTCACAGAGATAGTGCAGGCAATTACTTTGCCTCTTGCAAAGGCAATTTTACTAATTTTGGCTTTATAAATCAGTGCCCTCTCAACTCAGAAATTCAAGCCCTGATGAAGTGTTTTTCTGTAATTCCCATTGATGCTGGGTCTGCTATTTTGACCAAAATTTTGAATATAATATACACATCAATCTGCGAAAACTTATCAGTGCATTTTAAAATAACTTATAAAGTTTTCATAATCTTGTTATCATATTTAGAATATTATAATTAGTTTGAAAAAATACCTGATTGTGTATCAATACACATGAAGTGAAAAATCTTTTGTTAATGCTAGTAAATGCTTTGAGTTAAAAAGAGATGACCTTACATAAGGATGAATGCAATAGGACAATAAAAGTACTGTAAAACATCTTTTTCACAAGCATGTCTTTTTAGCGAGAGAACTGATTCGCTAATTTAAGATGTCGCTAATGACTTTATTATAAATTCAAAATGGCCAAGGCTTGGGGTGCTTCCTAATTACACTTGTTTTTATGGAGGTGATAACTGCCAATTTGTTTTGGCCCGCGACAGACAGGTATTGTGAAAACAGGAAATCAACAATGACAAGAGAGATTCGCTAAATCAACATTTCGTTATTATGTCATTTTACCACAATTCGCTAAAATTGCATGTCGCTTTTTCAACATGTTTTACAGTATGTTAATTAGGAAAACAACTTAAATCTCACTAACTATGAGCTGTCTTGAAATGTAAAAATTAATAATATTACAAAACAGGTAGAGGGCGCTATAACATATATCAAAGTTGATCAGGAAAGTAGCAATATACAATTTCGGAAAGTTTCCCGGAATACAGATTGAGAGTTTCCTGATTCATATTATGAAATATCATGCTCAGTATAAGATTACTAGCAAAAAAAACAAAAATCTTAAATTCAATGAAAAAATATAAAATGTTATATATTGATCGTATTAGCTGTATTAGAAAAGCATCACTAATAACAGTCAACATAAACCATAATTAGCATTATTATATGCTGAATTATGACTTATGTTGACCAGAAATACACCTCTGTTTTTCACATGTGCTCCACCTATGAGGCAAATAAGCTATTTGGAAAACTATCAGATGTAATTAGGAAGTGTACTTTCACAATATCTTGCTGGAATCTGAATTTCTAATATAGGAAGAAACTTTTTTATAAAACACGAAAGTCAAAATGAAATCAATTTTTTATGTTGAAACATTGTGAGTAATCTTGAACAGCAGAATAGAAATATGTATATTAAAATCAAGGTTTTTTCTGGATAAAATTGAAAATTATAAAACATTTCTGGATAGGAAAAAAACAACAATGGGAATTAATATTCAGATACATAATTCAAGGTCATTTGAAATACAGATAAAAGGTTGTAGCAAATTTAAATGCATGTTTAATAAAAAACTAAAATGAACAAATTTATGGATCAGAAAAACACTATTTTTAGAGAAATTGTTGTCATGGTGTAAAATATACTTGTTTCTGGAATAAAATTCATAAAATATTAATCAGTTACATTATTTCATATTTTGGTTTAAAAAGTATTGTTTCATAACTATATCTAAGAATATTTTATTTTGTAAATATACGCCATCACATTTTTAAAAAGTTAGTACTGTATCTTGATGATAAAAACATTTTCCCTTACAGAATCAAAATCGTGTGCCTTCCCTACTGATACATATTGTATGACATATATACAGACCTGTATGGTTAATACAGTATAATTAATATTATAAAAAAATCACATTTTAAAGCACACATCTGATCAGCAAATAAGTTTGCAACTTTATTAAACTGATCGTGGCCTTTTTTATTATTAAGAGTCCATGATTAAATTTCTTGAAAGCAAAGTTTTTTAGCAAATTTAGTAAACTAGGAAAATATTGTAATGAACATTTCACAAAAAGTTATAAAAACATCTGAAAATGAGACTCTCAAGCTGCAAGAGACAATTTGCTGCATACATTTTTATGGTTTTCACAAAATAATGCAAATAATAATAAAAAAGATTAGTAAAAATCTGTATTAGCCTAAAAAAAATCAAAACTTGTTCTGTCTCACAATTTTGTTTTCATAATTAGTAATGAATAACAGGATTTGAGAGTTACACAATCATCACAACTAGGAAGTAAGTCTATTTTTTAGTGTTGTGTAGTTCAATTCCCAGTTCACCTCTTCTCAAATGCTTCAATTTTAACATTATTGTATAGATTTATTTGGTGCCTTTGTTCTTTGTTTAGAGTTTCTTCAGTTTACAATTCAGTTTTTTCTATAGGGAAAATAAAAAGAAAAGCAAGAACACATTATTTGGAAGTTTATACATTTATACAGTACTTATAGTTGCTGTTAAACCCACGGGAAACACTAGAAAATGTCTATATTATTACATGATTCAACTAGAGGTACAGCAGGTGTCTTGGTCCATACTATTTCCATCTTGCTTACACTCTTTCATACAGAGGATTGATTTCCATACTGAGGACTGATTTATTTTTTAAATATTCCGAGTCAAAATGGAAACCCCCCCCCCCCCCCAAATCAAATTGAGACAGTTTGTTGACTGCTTGTGGGAGATCAGTCTTTAAGAAAAAAATTGAATTGTATCCGACTATATAGATGACTTGAGGTATTCAAACAAGCAGCCTGTCGGCTGAGATAGCTCCGCTGTTAGCAATGCACATTTCAATTAAAGAACTGAAGACATCATTAGAAAATGAACAATATGTATAGTATCAAAG